GGGAAGCCAGTGGCCGCCTGGCCAAGGGCCACCTCCTAGGGACACTGCGGGTGGCCCGGGGGCTGTTGGCCATCCCCGGTGTCCCCAATGCCACCGCAGCCACCAGGGTGGCTCAACAGTGTCACACTGCCACCGCTGCCATCCCGGGGCTGCTGTCGCGGGGACAGCAGTAGGGGACAGTGGCTTTGTTGGGGTCAAGTGGCTTTGTTGGGGACCAATGGCTTCATTGGGGACAAGTGGCTTTGTTGGGTACAAGTGGCTTCATCAGGACCAGTAGCATCAACACATCACTGCTGCAGTCCAGTTTCTGTGTGGCTCTGTCCCCAACACGTGTCCCCCCTCTCTCTTTTGCCTCCTGTCCCCACCCTTGTTCCTTCTCATGTCCTTGTCCCCTCCTGTGTCCCCGTGTCCCCTCCCATGCCCTCTCCATCTGCCTACATGTCACCTCTCTGGTGTCCCCTCAGTGTCCCCATATGTCACCACCTCTGTGTCCCTTCCATGTCCTGCTTCAGTGTCCCCATGGGGAAGTCAAATGTCCCCAAGGAGGCCCAGGAGGGTCTTGGTGTCCCCAGGGCCACCATGGCCATATAGAGGGATCTCCTCCCCCGTGTCCCCTCCAGGTGTGTGTCCCCTTGGCCCCTCCTTGTCCCCATGTCCCTCACAAAGGGGTGGTTGGGTTCCTCTGCAGGACACCCAACTGTGTCCCCCAAACTGTGTGGTGGTCCCCAAACCTTCTGCCATCACGTCCCCATCCCCGACAGCTTCTGCTGAAGAAGGACACAGATATTGGAGCGAGTCCAGAGGAGGCCCCGGAGATGCTGGGAGGGCTGGAGCAGCTCTGGGACAGGCTGGGAGACGCTGGGAGGGCTGGAGCAGCTCTGGGACAGGCTGGGAGAGCTGGGGTGTTCAGCCTGGAGAATGGGACAGGCTGGGAGAGCTGGGGTGTTCAGCCTGGAGAAGAGAAGGCTCCAGGGAGACCTGAGAGCACCTTCCAGTGCCTGAAGGGGCTCCAGGAAAGCTGGGGAGGGACTTGGGACAAGGGCAGGGAGGGGTGGGATGAGGGAGGGATGTCTTAAAACTAGAAGATGGGAGACTAAGATGAGACCTTAGGTGGGAACTCCTCCCTGTCAGGGTGGTGAGAGCCTGGCCCAGGTTGCCCAGGGAAGCTGTGGCTGCCCCACCCCTGGCAGTGTTGAAGGGCAGGTTGGATGCGGCTTGGAGCAGCCTGGGCTGGTGGGAGGTGTCCCTGCCCATGGCAGGGAGT